GCATTCCCCGAATATAAGTCACACTCGATTATAAGTCACACTTGATTCTTAGGTCTGAGCCAAATGGTTTCAATACAATCACATAGGTGAGAAGTCACACTCGATTGTAAATCACACCCTGTTCTTCACCCTTGAAGTTTACTATGAAAGGTGTGACTCACATTCGGGAAAATACAGCAATTGTCAGCTTATAACACAGTACATGCTAAACATCATACACAGTACATGCTGATCATCACACACTATACATGCTGATCATCACACACTGTACATGCTGATCATCACACACTGTACATGCTGATCATCACACACTGTACATGCTAAGCATCACACACTGCACAGGTGCATGTATGTTGACAAGGCCGGCCATGCCCATGGTCAAGGAGGTGAACACGGGAGTAGTAAAATACCGGCACTTTACTACTCCAGGGTATGATCAGGCGTCGCAGTCCAGTCCTCCACGCTGTAAGCCGTACCTCATGTACTGGTGCACATGCACATGCATATGCAAGTCCATAACTAGAGTACAGGGGGGGGGGGGGGGTGCGCGCAGATGGGGATGCAGGGGGGAGGGGGGGGGGGGGCATACCCTCGCGCCTAAATTTAAAAAAAAAACTGTGATGCTGGCATGCACATGAGTGATTGACTGATTCACATAATTATATGTACATGTACAAACAAGGCTGCTCTAGGCAGCTTGAGGTAGAGTGCTCAATGCACACATGTGCAGAGCAGTACTATACACACACACAACAGAGATGAAAGGCTGTGTAGCTGTAAGTTAAAGCTTCACGCATTTCAGCGATCACCAGACAGGGGCATTCGAATGCTGCTGTCTGATGATCGCTACAGTGCGTGAAACTTTAACTTACAGCTTCACAGCCTTTCGCTTCTGTTGTGTGTGTGTGTGTACTTGTACTTGTACATGGTGCAAGGCACTTGTACGGTACTCATGTACTCATGTAGTAATATCAATGCTGTCTGGATGGGGGGGGGGGGGGGGCAACCCGCCTTGTCAAATTCCTGCGCACACCCCCTGAGTACTAGTAGAGAGCGTCGGAGTAACAGCAAGCCTATCCAACGCAATTCGTGGGTTTTTTTAGATCACAATACGAAAGGATGAGAGCAATTATATTGTAGAATCGTAATCAAGAGTACGACGACTCTTGATTACGATTTTAAGATTGTTGCTTCCTTGCCGTTTGTTTGAACAGTTGTACGCAGAGGAGGTATTTCAAAAGAAATGTGCTGAACCTCAACAAATGGAACACAAAAATTGCATCTCGACAAGCTTTAACAGCTAGTATACACATGGGCGTTTTCAGAGAATACCAACATGATGACGAATGGTCAGACAGGAGGGGGGTGGGGGGGGGGGGGGGGTGATCCGTCAATCTGGTTTATCAAGTTATCGCAAGAACCCTGCGATAGCAGATCAGGGATGAATATACTGTCCTGTTTTTGCATAGCAGTTGTCGCTACGCAAAATCTCATAAGCTACAAACAGCATGGATAGCCTGTACATGTATGTGTCGCAGTTTTCTGCGTGTCACTGTGATTTTTGAGTAGCAGTAGATCGACTTTGCGTAGCAAACTGCGATGCGATACTGCGATGCGATACTGGATAAATTCATTCCTGCAGGTGCTATATCGTTGAAATCTCAAAGATGCTAGACACCGATTACCGACCAAGACTTTATAAAGGAACTCATTCCGTACGGTAGACATTGTGGAATTATGTCATCACTTGAGACATGTTGTGTGGAACTACAGCAGAACGCTGATTATCCGGACGTCAACTATCCGGATGATTGATCCTCCGGATCGCCTGGTCGGTCTGGACAAAAACTAAATTAGGAGATGTTTCGAGGGTTTTGCTGATTTTCGCGACTCGGAGCATCATCCAAGCGATGCACAAGATGTACTACATACTACATACGGGAATATGCATGTTTTCGATAGATGTGTGACTGCTCCCTTATCCGAACATTCTTCTCAGCCGAACCCCCTGGAGACCGCCCCGCGTCCCGAGGGGAGCGGATAATCGTCACTTGCCCTCTACTGCGCATCATCAATCTTTTTTTAATTTCGGCCAGTCGGCTACTGTCATAAAATTTTTATTCTTGGGGTTAGACGGGAAGTAGCCATATAGGGGCGTGAGCCCGCCTTCCGGCACCGGGAGTTGCAGCTCGCTAGACTTGACTCCACTGAGTGAAGAGAACCCACACCTTGATCTGGTGAGCTGCGTCGTGGGGATTTTGCAATCAGATGTGCGACTGCGGGGCTCGAACCCGCGACCTCTTGGGTCGCAGGCTGATAATGTATTCTATGGAGTGATACAAATTGTGAGTTTTTGCCACCGCAAGTACTGGTTTGGCACTCAATACAAGCACATGTACCACGCATATGCCGTGTGCCTGACGAATATGAATGCTATGAAATTTTGAAAGAAAACTGTACGAAAATGGCTGGCCCAGCACTAAGAGAATGCTGCAGTTCTTACCACAGTAATAGGGTGTTGGTCTTCTGCTTGGGCTACGGTCTGCTCCATACTCATATCACCTCAGAAATCACTAACTGGCTCACAGGGACACTTCTACTGCTGTTGTCAGGTGCAGTGCTTGCAAAGTCAAAACATGCTTTCAAACAGAAAAGTGATGTTCATTTGTTTTCACGATCAAAAACAATTGTTGTTCTCGACAGGATACGACTCAATGAGCTTGGACTGTGTGTTTGAACACTGCTGCTGTACAGGCATTCAGTGTCGTACTACTCTATCGCTTCCACTTCCAGGATATTTATTATAATTTCCAACTGGTACATGTAAACCCCTGCCATTTTCTGTCACTTTCAGTCAGTCGCTTGATCGCAAGCGTGCACGAAAAATATTTAATTAATATTTGAAAAGAGCGAGTACATTGTAGTTTCGCGAAAAATACTCGAAACGTCCTAGGCACTAGTAGGCTAGTACTGTACGTAATGTATGTACATGTACGTCATCAAGCACTGACGTAACTACAGACTGTACAGTATTCGTTACCATGGTTACTCTGACAGTCCAGGTAAGTGAGCCTACTGCATGCGGCCTAAGGCCTCGGTCACACTACGGCAAAAATGCTGCGTCAGCGTCAGAATCATGAGCTTTTCCATGGCAACTGACGCAACGCGGGAAGTTTGAGCATCAGACACTGCCGCGTCTGACGTGGGGGAAATCGGCTGCGTTGCCGCTGATGGGAGTGACGCTTGGCGGAAAAACAGTATCTTTCAAGTAAAATTAGTTTCAAGACACTTTGCTTGAGTTGAGCAGTTATTCGACATTCGTCTCTTCAAGGTTTGTTTTGTTCCCTCTTTTTGTTCGAGATGAGTCCGTGGACCTACGAGGCCGAGGCTGCTCTGCTCCGAGCCTGGCGGAAGAGCGAGGCATTTTCTGAGAAGAAAATGATGTCGAGAAAGGACCAGTTGTTTGAGTGGGTCATCGGCCAACTGGAGCCTGTTGACTTGTGAGTGTTGTGTTGTCGTCAAGAGCCCCAAAAAGGACAACCAGCATGGCGAAGTCAGGAGAAACACAGCTGTGATGCGGACTTTTCTTGCCTGATCCATGACACTAAAACTGAAAATGGCTTCAAATTCGGAAAGAAACAACAACGATCGTGCACGCGTGGACCTTTCGTCTTCTTGTCATCAAAAATCAATGAAAAATTCGAAAACTTTGTCTGACAATTTTTTTGTATAATAAGCAAAAGGCCGGTTTCCGTGGGAATCCGTGTCGTCATTGAGTTTTCATGGTGATTTTGTGACGTAGACAAATGCGTCAAGCCGCGGCAGTCATGAGCTGCAAAAAAAAAAAACCACTGTGTGACCCCGCGTCTGCGTCAAGTGCTGCGGGTTGAAAGTCCAGTGCTTGTGAAAGTCCAGTGCTTTTTACTATGTTCGGTGTGGCGAGAATGTGTGCAGTGCATTGTTTATGTTGTCAGTAAAATACTCGTACTCGCTAGAATACTCGCTCGTTTTCTCAACTAGTAGTCGAGTCCTCGATTTTGGCACTCGTTTCACCCCTACAATGTACATGTATATGATAATAATACTATGATAGCGGGAGTAATAACCGCGTGAATGTATGCAGGGACAGGCTATTTTCAGAGGTAGATGCGGTTGGTGCAGATCTAGAACCAGTAAGCACACGCTAAATCTCCCCTATAATTATACTAAGTACATTTAGAGCTGAAATATCGATAAGAGAGCGCTTTCGACGTCATGTATCACGATCTCCTTCATCCATGATCGCTGTAGTTCTACCTCTCTCCGTTGAACATACTTGTACACGCAAGAATAAGGCCCGAGGCTTCAAGTTCAAGGGCAAAGCCAATGGTAATTTTATAAATTGATATTTAGCATACAGACGAAGTAGCGACGACCCGGCCATTAGGGAATCCAATACACCACATCACCACATATGTTGCTGCTCACAGATGAACCCTGATAATGATCAGCAAATTCAAATTCAACTCGGTTGAGCTGCTCGTTTCCTTGTTTGAATTGTATTCTATTTTCGTCACGCGTTTTATATCGCATATGTTTTATATCGCCATCAATATCCTGTTTGGCTGTTGTCGCTTCGGGTTAAGCGAAAGCTGTACATGCTGTAATAGTTCTTCATTGAGCGAAGGAAGAAGAGAGCGTTTATTACTCAATATACTGCTTATATATATGAGAGTAGGTGTGACACAAGGTGATAAGGTGTGAGTGGTGAAAGTAGGTGTAAAACTGTTACACCATCCCCTCCCCAACGGAAAGTTCCGTGGCTTTAACCAATTGTTAATCACGGAACCCAAGAGCATGGAATACAGTAATATCATAATGGTGTAGCAATGTAGCAGGTGGCAAGGAGCAACAGAATACCCAATTGTCAGGACCGGAAGCCTGTGTAACTAAAAAAAACTCAATAATGTCAGGAACTGAACGCAAATAACCACAACATGGAGGAGCTGCAGACCATGCTATCACTTGCGTAGACTAGTGAGATAGTTCCGCAGCTGGACAATGTTTTTACCTGACTCGTCAACCAAGTTACTAATGGGCTCCCATGTTGCCTCGCCAACGGGGTAACCCTTCCAATGCACCAAGTACTGGCGCTCACCCCGGTCATCTCTGTGCTTCAGGATGGCCTCCACCATATAGCGGGTGTTTCCGTCCAGATCCATAAACGGAGGGGGCACTGGCTGGCGTCTGTTGGGAATGGTGTTCTGTTCGTAGTGTCGCAGGGCAGTGACGTTGACTACAGGATGACAGCGGAAAACGGACGGCAGCTCCAATTCGTAGGCGTTCGAGCCCACCTCCCGAACGACGCGGAAAGGCCCAAACCATTTTGGTTGTAGCTTCCTCGATGGCTGTTGTCGGGCCTCCGGTGATATCAGAAAGTCTCTATAGACCAGGGCCAGGTCTCCCACCTTGAGACGGCTAGGACTCCTACCCCTGTCGGCATACAGGGCCTGGCGGGCTTGAGCCGCGACAATACTATCCTGCGCTTTCTTAAGCGCATCAGATCTGGCTTGGATCCAGTCTGGCCTAGTTCTCCGCGCTCCCGTTCCCAGAATGAAGTCTGCGGGCACCTTCGGGTTAAAACCATAATTCAAGAAAAAGGGAGAATTACCAGTGGATGCTTGCTGGGAATTGTTGATGGCATACTCACATATGGGTAATAGTGCGGCACAATTATCTTGCTTGTGGTTAACAAAACACCTGAGAATATCGGCAATTAATCTGTTCATTCGCTCTGTCTGTCCATCTGTTTGAGGGTGATTAGTTGTGGAAAATGACAACTTAGTACCGAGCAAACGAAACACTTCCTGGAAGAACTGGGCCGTAAATCGTGGGTCACGGTCACACACTATAGAAGAGCTAAGACCGTGAAGACGAAAAACATGCTGAATATACAAATTGGCACTGCCTTCGGCATCTATGGTTGCCGTTGTGGGTACTAGGTGAACACATTTTGTGAGTCTATCTACAAATGTGTAAATTGCATCATGACCTTCGGGTGACTTGGGTACACCCATGATGAAGTCCATGGTAATATGGTCCCAGGGTTGCTCGGGCACAGGAAGTGACTGGAGAAGCCCAGACCTTAATTGAGCACCCTTAGCGCGCTGACAGACATCACACAATTTAACAAATTTCTTAACATCCAACCCCATGCGCGGCCAATAGAAGTGACGAGCGAGCTGGAAATACGTTCTGTCCCTGCCGGGATGACCTGCGGCAATGCAGTCATGGTGCGCCTGCAAGAGTTGTAGTCGAAGTGCGCATTTGGGAACGCATAATCTGTTACTAGGGGAAGATCGCAAGTAAAGATGATGGGCGTCACCATCCCAGAGGTATGCCTGGTGAACGTTGTCACTCGAAGAACGACGCCTCCTCTGGATGATAGGCCATAACTCTGCATTGTGTTGATATGCTTCTGCTTCCGTCTTCGAGAACTGAACATCAATTGCCAGAGCAAACTCAAGAGCGTTACACTGTGCAGCAGTCAGTTTTGTTTGAACTACTGAGATCTCGCCCGCCTGAAGGTCAGGACGACGAGACAAGGCATCAGCAGCCGCATTGTCCCTTCCAGGTTTATGATTGACCGTAAAGTCGAAATCCGCCAGTAACTCTACCCAACGGGCCTCCCTTTCGGTGAGGGTAGGTTTGGTTCTCAGGTGTACAACGGCCATGTTATCCGTGAACACATCAAAATGCCCAAAGATGTACACTCGCCAACACTTCAGGGTTTGGACTAGAGCGAGGGTTTCTCTTTCTCCGGCTGTGTAGTTGCGCTCGGCGGAGGACAGTCTCCAGCTAGCATAAGCGACTGGATGCCAGAGATTTCCTGCTTCGCCTTGCTGCAGGAGAACCCCAGCAATAGCGAAATCGCTAGCGTCGGTTTCTACTCTGAATGGCTTTTCAACATCAGCAAGTCGCAATACGGGTGCACTCAGTAAGGCCTTCCGCAGTTTCTCAAATGGAGACTGACGTGCCCTGGTCCACTCAAAACGCGAGTGTTTCCCTGTGATTTCCTCCAAAGGTCTCGAAATCATGGAATAGTGATCAATGAACCGTCTGAAATTGTTCGCGAAACCCAAGAACTGTCTCACTTCCTTTATAGAGGTCGGCGCAGGCCACTCCTTAACCGCAGCAATTTTGTTTGGGTCGGGAGAGATAGATAAACCACTCAGCTTGTGGCCTAGGAAGATGACATTCCGCAACCCAAATTCACACTTTGAGGGTTTGCAGAATAACTTGTTGGCTCTTAAGGTTTCCAAAACAGTGCTGACATGCCTCAAATGCTCGCTCCATGTTTTACTGAAGATCAGGATATCATCAAGGAATACGACCACGAAATCACGTAAATAGGGCTGCAGTATTGAATTCATCAAGGCCTGGAATGTGGCAGGTGCATTGGTTAGACCAAACCCCATTACCCGAAACTGGAAATGTCCAAAGGGGGTATTAATTGCCGTTTTGGGTACATATTTTTCACTAATTCTGATTTGATTGTATCCCGAACGGAGGTCTAATTTCGTAAAGTAGCGAGCCCCTTGGACGGTGTCGAACAGATCGTCAATGTTCGGAAGGCAGGCTTTGTTTTTAATAGTGATCTTGTTTAGATCCCGCCAGTCACAAACGATTCGTAATGACCCATCGGCCTTCTTAACAAAGAACACCGGGGCTCCGTACGGGGACTTACTAGGCTCGATGAATCCTTTACCCAGGAGGGCTGTCAGCTGCTTGTGTAGTTCATCCATCTCGGGCTAGGATAGTCGGTACGCTGCCTTGGATGGTGGCGTTGAGTTGTGTTCGACCTCAATCTCGTGGTCCACCGACCTTTCTGGGGGAAGCTGTGAAGGGAGGTCATCGGGGAACACGTCCGAGAATCTGTGCAGCAGCTCATCGACGTCACGCTGCTTGCCCGGAGGTACCTCCTTCCGAGGCTCATGTGACGAACTGTCGTCGGGGGAAGATAGCCAAGCCAGGTAACCCTCTGCGCCTTGCCGTAGCGCATGTCGTGCTTGTTTGCCAGAGATGAACATCAGCTCCGAGGGAACAGCAGCGTCGCCTGTGGGTTCACCCGCGATTAGGGATTCGGCACCCAGTTTGACCTCGTTGGTGCGGTAGTTGATAGCTGGATTATTCCGGGTCAGCCAGTGTTTTCCCAGGATCACATCATATCGATCAAGGGGAAAGACCGTCAGGCGCTGGTCATCGCCATAGCCTCCTACGCCAAGCGAGCGGCGGTGGTCTCTAGCGGCCGCGAACTGGTTGATCCGTCCGCCAAGGCCACCTTTAGAACCTCCTCCACGATCTTCGTTTTCATCTTTTGTTTTCTTGCGAATCGTTCCGAGATAAAATCGTGTGTTGACCCGCAGTCGATTAACATTGTCGCTCGGTGGCCGTTCACCTTTCCGTTCACAACAAGGAGATCGTGGTCCCGCGCGTGCGAATCCAGGGCAATGTTGCTGACGTAGCTCCGCACGCACTGTGGGCCTTGAAACTCAAGGGTGTCGTCGCCATCATTATCAGTCTCCACGTCGTCTGTCTCCAGGCAACTAAACCTGTTGGTGACTGGCACGGTGAACTTGGGTGCTCTCTCACACGCCGGTATTCGCACCCCTATTATTACTGGCGTCCAGCGTTTGGGCTCGAGTCACATTGACGTGCCAGATGACCAGGATATGTAGCATCGTCGTTCCGTTTCCTCGCGATTGGAACGGGGACCAGGAACCGACAGTGGACGACGTACCAGGTTCCCCTGCTGCTGTCGTACCGTAATGAAGGGCATCACTTGCGATACGGCAAGCGCTGCTTCTGTCGCCTTCTGCAGGGTTGTAAGATGCTCCTTCATGACTTCACGCCTGAGCTCCGGGGCCAGGCCCCTGACAAATAGTACTGCGCGAGAGTGGCCATCCAGGTCAGTGATTAAAAAACTGAGCCGCGAGAATTCTGTGATGTAGTCTCCTAAGGCGCCGCGCTGGGAGAGGGAGAACAAACTCCACCGAGCTCTCTCTTGGTCGTACTTCACACCGTAAGCCGCCTCTAATGCCTTCTTCAAGGACGACCAATCTGGGTATGCAGCGCCGGCTTCCAGGGAAGTCATCAACCACAGACGCGGATTTCCAGCGATATAACTGGCTGCAAACTCAGCTTCAAGTTTAGGATCCGCGAAGCGCCACGAAACCAAGGCCAACTCGACGGCAAATGCCCATTCCCGAAACGTGGTGGGATCTCCGGTGAACACGGGCGACTCCTTGACGTGTGGGCGATCACGCGGTGCAGGCTGGGAAGCTGAAGCACGAGACTCAGGAACACACTGGGGTGACGACAGAGTAGAGGGTAGAGCTTCCTTCCGGAGACGGTTGACGATCCAGATGCTGACGACGATAGAGCTGATAGCCGAGGCCAGAACTAGGCCCACGAACGACCACAGGGGATGGAGATCCATCCTCTTGCTACCAATGTAATAGTTCTTCATTGAGCGAAGGAAGAAGGGAGCGTTTATTACTCAATATACTGGTTATATATATGAGAGTAGGTGTGACACAAGGTGATAAGGTGTGAGTGGTGAAAGTAGGTGTAAAACTGTTACACATGCTGTGTATATCTACATTGCATTGATGCCCACGCGGAGAAGCTTCTAATAATAATAAACATCACCACATTGCGCTCTTCGCCTATCCAAACTCTGCACTCACATCATCATCACCATAGCGAAGACAGTTCCGGTATATAGATTGATATTTTACAATGACCTCCAGACAGCTGTTTCGCTTCTCCTGAGCTCATCAGTGGAGGTGTATGATGTTGATTGAAAGAATAACAAGAATAGATTGATCTATATAGGGCTAAACTGGCGCAATCGCGCTCATTCTGCATAGAAACGTGGCATACCCTAAGTGACAAAAATGATAACAAGGTCAGGTGATGACGACACGCACTCATGGCTGGGACATGTATGTAGCACGTGTGAAAAAAGTTGGACGGAAAAAACAGCAGTCAGTCTAACACCAGAAAAGTTAGTTATCGCATGTGCCACAAAACAAAGATACTGCGGCTGACTGTACTTGTCCCATAGTGACGTGACGGGGAACGGACCACGAAGCGAACTGGCCTACGCGGCAGACCAAGATAAGACTCAGTTGCCAAGAGGCCCCTGAGGCAATCACTGTCCTGCCAGCCCGTCGCACACAGTCAGTCACACCACGCCGCCATATATCCGTTGAACACAACAGAACAACAAGGACAATCAAGGCTTGTTTGCTGCTACTTTAAGTTTCATGCTTACGCAATCATCAGGCAACATGAAGATCGGGTGCCGACCATGCCGGTATATATGCCAGGAGAGGGTGGTATAAAAAGCTGTGTGAGACTGTGGGGGCTAGCGCAGTAGCGGTGGTGTTTTAGGCAGGGGGCTGTGTGCAGAGTGTGTGGTTGTTGAAGGCAGCGCAGGGCTAGCAGTGCAGTGTGAGCGCGAAGTGTGTGGCTGGTGTGGGCAGGAGGTGGTGAACAATGCGTGTGGATGTTGTAGGCAGGAGGCTGTAGAGCTAGCAGTGTGATAATAGCGCAATGTAAATGGATATGTCTGGTGTGGGCAGGGTGTTATGAGCAAGGTGTGTGAACGTGAATGGTGGGCAGAGGACCGCTTTGTTGTGGCTTTTGATGCGTGCAGCCATATTTGGCATGCAACTGTAGCTTATCTTGATGGTGTTTTTTGTGAATATTTTTCCGAGCGACAAAGCGGTCCTCTGCCCGCAAACGGAAAAACCGGAAAAGCCCTGCAACTGCCGAGACAAGCCATCTTGTCCACTCAACGGTGAATGCCAAACGACGGAGCTGATATATGTGGCATCCATAACGTCAGGCCCCACCAAAAAGGAATACACCGGTATGTCGGCGCCACCATTCAAGTCACGCCATGCCAACCACATGACTACAACAAGATACGAGAAGTACTCCAGCTGCACTGAGTTCTCCAACTACATCTGGAAGCTGAAGAAATCCAACGCCCAATACGAAGTCGAATGGAGGATAAAAGATCGCGCCCGGGCATACTCCAACATCACGAAGCGGTGTTCCCTCTGTACCAGAGAAAAGTATCACATCCTGAACACGCTAGGGTCACCGTCCAGCCTCAACAAGCGCTCCGAAATGGTGTCCAAGTGCCGACACGAGAACAAGTATCTCCTAAAAAACCACGGTGTCACCTAAACATATCTCCACAGCCTCCTGGCCACACCATTCACGTTCACACACCTTGCTCATAACACCCTGCCCACACCAGACATATCCATTTACATTGCGCTATTATCACACTGCTAGCTCTACAGCCTCCTGCCTACAACATCCACACGCATTGTTCACCACCTCCTGCCCACACCAGCCACACACTTCGCGCTCACACTGCACTGCTAGCCCTGCGCTGCCTTCGACAACCACACACTCTGCACACAGCCCCCTGCCTAAAACACCACCGCTACTGCGCTAGCCCCCACAGTCTCACACAGCTTTTTATACCACCCTCTCCTGGCATATATACCGGCATGGTCGGCACCCGATCTTCATGTTGCCTGATGATTGCGTAAGCATGAAACTTAAAGTAGCAGCAAACAAGCCTTGATTGTCCTTGTTGTTCTGTTGTGTATTACGCTCTGCCTTTGTGGTGTTGAGCACTTTCAGCACTCTGGGTACATCCTTCGGTATCCGTTGAACACGTACACTGATGTAGCCTGCGCTTTCAGTCAGCATCTGATTGCATCCCTTTTTCATCAGCTGATGTTTGGAAGCCCTGCGTGCACGTGCTTGAAGTCTTTGCCTACTACTACAGACAGTACTAGTGGATTACATCATGTCATTGTACGTAGTAACCCTGGTGGAACGGCCATGCCACCCAGCATCTACTACACGTACTACTAGTCGAATCAATCCCACAGCACCTACCTGCAAACAAGTACAATAATAATTATTTGAACACTGGAAAATTCGCTGTTACACGTACTTCCAGTACATCTTCCTCTCTTGTGTTTTGTCATTGTTATTATTACTACATTACTATTAGCCCCGCGTCGCCTGGATCACTGCATTACCGAGTCATTACCACCATCAGGCACTAATGACACTCGCCAATTTCTTTCGCAGCATTATCAGAGTGGTTACTCTGCTGGCTAGGAGAATAAGGTGTTTGTACAGGCGGTGTCTATCTTCGTGCACACGTAGACGGCGTCAAGACGGTTTAGACATGGCGGATGGAGCATGGATTAGTTCAGAAACTGAAGACGAAATTTATGATCAAGCCTTGGTATTGGCAAGGAAGGACATCAGAAATCAGTTTGAGAGGCTGGAAAGGAGTCCACCTGATGGATGCTACATCAAAGCAAATCATGATGATGATTTCCTTTACTGGGACGCTACTGTCTTTGGACCGAAAGGTAGCCCGTATGAAGGTGGTGTCTTTGACATAACGCTGAAATGCATAGACGAGAATCCCTTCGTGTTGCCCGACGTGACTTTCATCACCAAGATTTACCATCCGATCGTCAAGCGACATAGCAAGATATGCGAGTGGTGTTTGTTGAGGAATGTTGATGCTCATAATTCGGGCCCTTGGCATAACAGTATGGTAAGCTTATTTGAAACGATTCAAAATTTATTGGATGACCCGTACTCATGTCTCTCACACTTAACTGGAGAAGTTGGAAACGCGCACCAGATTGATCCTGATTTGTTCGCCCAAACAGCAAAGGAATGGACAAGA